CCCCCCCCCCCCCCCCCCCCCACACACACAATGGAGGGCAAGCTACCCCGTTGGGCGCCGCACGGACGCGAGAGTCCCTGGGGGCCGTCCCGCTCTCGCTGCCCGGATAAGGAAGCCTTCGTCAGCTGCCCGCTGCCCCTGGGAGGCCGAAGTACCTGCGGGCCAACGCCGCCTTCGCCTTCTACGACACCGCCGCCCTCAGCAGCAACGCCGCGGCCTCGCACTGGCCGCATCAAACGTCGTCATTTCCGGATGGCGAGCGCGCTTCCGGCTCTTCCCCGAGAAGTCGGAGAGAGACCGTCCCACCTCTATGGTAAGAATCGGCAGCCCGGAGGATTCATTCTTTGGACCTGGGGGGGGAAAGGGGCGTGGTCAGCCAGGCTTGCACGTGCGGCCGCCGGCGCGCATGCGCGCCCTTCCGCGGACGGGATGGGAGGTGGAGGAAAGGTCCCCAAGGCTCCAAGGGGGCCTCGGAAGCTCCTCCCAAGTGGCCTCGGCCGCGCAGGCGCAGATCTCGCCGTTTGCACCTGGCGGCCGTGTGCTGGCGTCGGGACTATGGTTCCCAGGATTCATTGGGAGGGAAACAGCCGTCACGTGGTGGTTTAGCTCAGGTAGGACCGCAGTCGAGGCCAACATTTATGTTGCTAGGTGACATATTTGTTAAGTGAGTTTTTCCCCATCTTCTTTCTGTTTGTCTGCCTCTAATATATATCCATCCCATCTATCATCTGTTTCTATGTGTGTGTGTGTCTCATCTCTCTCTCTAATCTCTCCCTCTCATCTACTTACCTACCTACCATCTATCAATCTATCATCTATTAAATATCTATCATATTATCTATCTATTATATCTATTATCTACCTATGTATCTATCATCTAAATTATCTATCAATCATCTATCATATCATCTATGTATGTATCATCTATATTATCTATCATCTATATCATATCTATTATATCTATGTATCTATCATCTATATTATCTATCAATCATCTATCATATCTATTATTATCTATCATCTATATCATATCTATTATATCTATGTATCTATCATCTATATTATCTATCAATCATCTATCATATCTATTATCTATGTATCTATATTACCTATCATCTATATCCTATCTATTATATCTATGTATCATCTATATTATCTATCAATCATCTATTATATCTATTATCTATCTATGTATCTATCATCTATATTATCATCTAACTATCAGATCTATTATATCTATTATCTATCATCTATTATATCTATTATCTATCTATGTACCTATCTGTTATCTACCTACCTTCTTACCTACCTACCTATCATCTGTCCACTGTATTTATCTCCATTCTGTCTGTCTGTCTTTCTATCCATCAATCATCCATCAATCATTCATCTATCTTATCTATCTAGCTTATGTATTGTTGGAAGAAACATCCAGGTCCAGTTCCAATCCAGGAGGTTCTGGTGCAACTGACCACATGGAGTTGAGAGTGAGCAGTTTTCATACCTACTCTTAGGCTTTGCACTTGAACCTCCTGTTCCTGTGCAAGAACGTGTATTCTATTGGCTGTTGTCATGTTCCCATAGGGCCATGTAGGGGTCAAGTTTGTCTGAGCTAAGTTTGGTTGAAGTTTGGAGGGTGACGCAATGTAGTGAAGCTCTGCTGCTAGATGGTAGAGGGTTAATCCTGTTATGTCCCGAGAGATCATGTCTTAATCCCATCATCCTGGAGCTGGAGGTCTTTTGTTTTGTAGATGGACTGGCCCAACCTTTCTCAATGGGCACAAAATATCTGCTAGGGGGAGGGAGCTGGGCCCCTGAGTTTCTGTCTCCCTTAAGCTGTTTATTTCTCTTTTAAGGGAAAATATTTTATCCTGCCTTTTAATAATATTCCTCAAAATATTTCATTCTTCTAGGAAAGGGTGTGAGTGCTAACTTACTCTCTCTTTCTCTCTCTCTCTCTCCCCTCTCTCCTTCCCTCTCTCATCTACTACCTACCTACCTATCTCCACTGTACCTATCTATCTCCATTCTCTTTGCGTCTCCCTCTAATCCAGAGGTCTCCAAACTTGGCAACTTTAAGACTTGTGGACTTCAACTCCCAGAAGACCACAAGTCTTAAAGTTGCCAAATTTGAGGACCTCTGGGCTAATCTGTCTCTGTCTCTCTCATATTGTATAGCTGCACATGTCTCACAAAAGTGCCCCTTGTTGAGACCATCCTAGAAACCCCTTTCTGTCATTCTGGGCATCGTATGCTGGCTGGGAGTTGAAGTCCACACGTGTCTTAAAGTGACCAAGGTTAAGAAATGCTATCCTAAACCATCCCCTTCCGGCTTCACAAACGTAAGCCCGTTTCATTTTTCCGCTCTTCCGTCGGGCTGACAAAACTCACTGTTAGGAATAACAAGGTTACTTAACGTAGTTTGGGTAAAATAATATATATAAACTATGATTGTAAGTTTAAGTGTGTGCAACTTTAAACTGCAAAGCATGTAATTTTGGGTGCGGTGTGAAACCGCCATAAGAGGGAGCAAGAGAACCTGCTGAATTGCTGACGATCGCTGGTTTGCCTGGACTGATGTTTTGCTAACTGTGTGTTCCCTACTGCTGAGTTTTTGCTGTCGAAGGAAGAAAGGAGGTTTGAGTTCTTCATATCCCTACTGCAAGGAGATATATTACTGGACTGATATTTGTAAGTTTACTGACCTCTCTTTTCGACACTGGACTTTGCAACTGAATAATCATCCCCGGACGGACTGAACTAGTGAATGATATATGGACTGTTTTGACTATGCTAAAACTCTTACTGGAATAAACTATTTAAGTAACACAGTGTATTTGTTTTACTGAGTGTAAGCTACAAAAACGTTTATCTCACATATTTTGCCTGCCTGCCTGACTGCCGTGCAGATTCTGCTAGGGTGTATCCCTAACAATCACCCCTTCTAATAATTGTTCAGGTAGATCTTCCCAGCAAGGCCTTAACCAGCATGGAGGTGTGACTACACTACTTGGCAATTTGGCGTGTTGCAGAGGTGGTGTATTCAGCAGGTTTTGACCAGTTCTGGGGAACCACTAGCGGAAATTTTGAGTAGTTGGGAGAACCGGTCAATCCCACCTCTTTTGACTGACCCCGCCAACCCCATCTCTTTTCTGCCTCTGATTGAGTCCCAGATGAATGGCTGGGTCTTCATTGGTTGCCCTGCACAGGAGAACAGAGCTGGAAAGCAGGTTAGTATTGTGATTAGCCAGCAGCAGTGAGGAGGAGGCTCCCGAGAAGCCTGTGCTAAGTGTGAGTGAGCGCAGGATGATTTGTCGAAGAGAACAGCTGGAGCAGCACAAGCGACTCGGGAGTAAGAATGCAACGTAATGGCCCCTCCCTTCAGGGAATATAAGCCCGATTTCAAAGGGTTTTTACTTTTGCAGAAAGCAGATTTTTTTTTGAAGAACTCAGCATTGTGTGTAGAGACTCCGGCTTATCTGAAGAACTCCGTCAAGGTTTTTTTTGGTTGGACTAATAGGCCGCAAGCCACCTTTTTATCTACGAAGAAGTTGATTTGTAGATTAAAGCTGTGAAGGTTTGAGTGACAGAGTTTGAGATTTTCCTTCTGGTAACCGGGTTGGGTCAAAGAACAGTTAGTGGGGTGAGGAGGGAAGGGGGATTTTACAGCATTCTTCCCCTGCCACGCCCACCAACCCACGCCCACAGAACCAGTCGTAAAAAAAAATTTGAATCCCGCCACTGGGGTGTGGCTTTTGTCTTCTGCAGAAGGCGAGAAAAGGAGAAGCACAGAACCTGGGAAAGATTAAATATCCAAAGGATTTATTTGGTAAAAACTCTTTGAATGCCCCTTGACTCGCAAGGAAGCGGCAATTTTCATGGAAGCCATTCTCATCATACGCCAGGATTCTCCTGCCCCGACCCAAATGTTTCCTGGCAAACACCCCCGTGACTTCCGGATCCGGAGAAGCAGGCAGCCGGTCCCGCCAGGACCAGCCTGGCGGATGCAAAGCTGTGACCTATTTTGGGGTCATTCCCATTCGCGGGGCTTAAGAAAACGGTGTAGAATGCAGAGTTGGGGGAGGGGAGAAGTGGGGTAGGGGACTAAGTTGTAGAAGGTGTACAGGTAGTCCTCAACTTACAACCGTTCGTTTAGTGACCAAAATGGCCCTGGAAAAAAATGGGACCAAGGACCGTTTTTCACACTTACGACCGTTGCGGTGTCCCCATGGCCACGTGATCAAAATTCGGAGGCTTGGCAACTCATAGTTACGACGGCTGCGGTGTCCTGGGTGTGTGTGTGTGTCATGTGATCCCCTTTTGCGACCTTCGGACAAGCAAAGTCAGCGGGGAAGCCAGATTCACTTAATGACCATGTTGCTAACTTAAGAACTGCAGCGATGTGTTTAACCACTGCAGCAAGAAAGGCCACAAAACTCACTTAATAAACGTCTCGCTTAACAGCAGAAATTTTGGGGCTCAGTTGTGGTCGTAAGCCAAGGACTGCCTGTACTCTTTTAGCTGTGATATTCCTGCATCTTCAGTTTTTTGTGTCTGGAATTCAACTGTGGGAGAGATGAAGTAATAAGAGAAGAAAGCTTGTCGGAATGGCAAGGAAGGAAGGAAGGAGATCGGGGTGAGAGAAGGAAGGGAGGAGGAAGGAAGGAAAGGTAGAGGAAGGAAGGATAAAAGAGAAAAGGAAACAGAGGGAGAGAAGAAGGAAAATGATAAGGAAGGAATGGCTAAGAGAAGGAGAAAGAGTGAAAGAAAAGATGGAAAGGAAGGAAAAAATGGAATGAAGGAAGGAGAAAAAAGAAGAAAAGGAAGGAAGGAAGGAAATGGAGGAATTAAGAAATGGAAACGAAAGAGGGGAAAAGGAGAGGGAGGAAGGAAGATGGGGATGAGAGAAGGAAGGGAGGAGGAAGGAAAATTAGAGGAAGGAAGGGGTAAAAGAAAAGGAAACAGGGAAAGAAAATGATAAGGAAGGAAAGGCTAAGAGAAGGAGAAAGTGAAAGGAAAGATAGAAAGGAAGGAAAAAATGGAATGAAAGAGAAGGAAAAAAGGAAGGAAATGGAGGAATTAAGAAACGTAAACAAAAGGAAAAAGGAGAGGAAGGAAGAAAGGAGATGGGGATGAGATGAAGCAAGGAAGGGAGGAGGAAGGAAGGAAGGAAGGAAAGGTAGAGGGAGGAAGGAAGAGGTTAAAGAGAAAAGGAAACGGAGAGAGAGGAAGGAAAATGACAAGGAAAGGCTAAGAAAAGGAGAAAGTGAAAGGAAAGATGGAAAGGAAGGGTAAAAATGGGATGAAGGAAGGAGAAGAAAAGGAAGGAAGGAAATGGAGAAATTAAACGGAAACAAAAGAGGGGAAAAGGAGAGGAAAGAAGGAGGGAGGGAGATGGGGATGAGAGAAGGAAAGGAAGGAAGGAAGGAGGAAGGGAGGGAGGGTAGAGGAAGGAAGGAAGGGGTAAAAGAGAAAAGGAAACGAGAGGAAAGAAACTGATAAGAAGAGTAAGAGAAGGAGAAAGTGAAAGATGGAAAGGAAGGATAAAATGGAATGCAGGAAGGAGAAAAAAGAAAAGGAAGGAAGGAAATGGAGGAATTAAGAAATAGAAACGAACCGGGAAAAGGAGAGGAAGGAAGGAAGGAAGGAGATGGGGATGAGAGAATGAAAGGAAGAAAGGAAGGGAGGGAGGGTAGAGGAAGGAAGGAAGGGGTAAAAGAGAAAAGGAAACAAAGAAGAGAGGAAAGAAAATGATAAGAGAGTAAGAGAAGGAGAAAGTGAAAGGAAAGATGGAAAGGAAGGATAAAAATGGAATGAAGGAAGAAGAAGAAAAGGAAGGAAGGAAATGGAGGAATTAAACAGAAACGAAAGACGGGAAAAGGAGAGGACGGAAGGAAGGAAAGAGAAACGTTCAGGTATTTGCAAAGCTATCACCATATTTCTCCATAAAATGCCAGGCTAGAATATCTCGGTTCTTTTGAAAGTCCAGGAGGCACATTCACCGTTTGGGGGGCCGAGGGCCGGCATTCTCGCAAGCCTCCCCAAACCGAAAGGAACCCCGGGTGGAAGAAGGGCCCGAGAGCCGCATCCTCCTCGGGGCGCTGCCTTGTGGCCTTTCCTTGCCCTCACTGGGCCTGTCGCTGGGCCTGCAGTTGGCGCAGACGCAGCTGGCGGAGACGCAGCGCCAGGTCCTTGGGCACCTTCCCGCCTTTGGCCAGGATCTCTCGCAGACGCTGCTTGGGGGTCTTGGTCAGGCGGAAGTCGCAGAGGGTGGGGTTGTTCTCGTAAGAGACGTGGCAGGTCCGGGTGACGGGGTGGTAGCCCTCGGCCTTGGCGGTCACTTCGTACTCGCCGGGGTTGAGCAGGCGCCAGTAGTCCCCATCGAAAGCTGCCGGGGGGGGGGGGGGGAATGGAAGAAGGGTGCTTAGTGGTGTCTGAGCTTGGCTGCTTTCTGGCAGACGTTTCATTACCCAGCTAGGGAACAGTATCAGTGCTTGAAGGGTTGGGGGGTTTGTGGAGAGGAGCAGGAGGAGGAGGAACAAAGGAGGATGGGGAAAACAGTAACAGGAGGAGGACGACTGAGGTCCTTGGTGCTCTCTGAGCTTGGTTGTTTTCTTGCAGACATTTAGTGGCCCAACTAGGTAACATCATCAGTGCTAGAAGGTAGTGGGGTTTGCAGAGAGGAGGAGGAGGAGGAAGAGGAGGAGGAGGAGGAGGAGAAGGAGGACGACGACTGTGGGGTCCTTGGTGCTCTCTGAGCTTGGTTGCTTTCTTGCTGGGATTTCATTACCGAACTAAGGAATATTATCAGTGCTAGAAGGCAGTGGGGTTTTCAAAGAGGAGGAGGAGGAGGAGGAGGAGGAGGAGGAGGAGGAGGAGGAGGAGGAGGAGGAGGAGGAGGACTGTGTGGTCCCTGGTGCAGTTTTCTTCCAAAAGTTTCATTACCCAACGAGGTAACATCATCAGTAATGTTGAACAGCATTGCTGACATTACCTAGATAGGTCATGAAATGTCTGCAAGGAAGCCACCCAGCTCAGAGACCACCATGGACACCACAGTCATCCTTCCTCCTCGTCCTCCTCCTTCTCCTCCTCCTCCTCCTCCTCTTCCTCCTCCTCCTCCTCTCTGCAAACGCCCCCTCCCTTCTAACCCTAATGCTGTTACCTAGTTGGGTCATGGAACATCTGCAAGGAAACCACCCTCCGTTTAACCCGGAGCTACCAATATTCTCCCTTATTGGTAAACGGAAGAGGAGTTTTAACGGGGAGACCCATTGCACCGGCTGCCCACATGGGCCAGGCCCATACTTTTTGGTACCTGTCCTGATGTCGTGGTTGATGCCGTCAACAGAAATGATGGCATCAGCGATGCCTTGCTCCGTGTCTTTGTCCCGGACGATCCCCTTAATCCCTCGGTGGATCTGAAAGGAGGCAGACGATTAGCTGGCACTTTGGGGTTAAGGCCCCAGACTGGAAGAGCACACAGCAGTGAGTTCTAGTCCTGTCTTAGGGCCCAAAAGCAACCCCCCCCCAAAAAAATCCTCACTGTGGACAATGGGCTGGTTTAACGACTGTGGTGTTCCCTTAACCACCTTGGTGATTCACTTAACGACTGTCGGACAAAAGAAAGGTTGTAAAATTGGCACAGTCACGTGATGACCTGCCTAACGATGGAAAACGACTTAGGACCGCCATGGCTTATGGCTCAATTACGATCGTAACTTGAGGACTTCCTCTATGCCAAATCCCATCTTGCTGTTCTCGAGTTTTCTACCCTGTGTGTGAAATACAGGGAGTCCTCGACTTACAGAGGTTCATTCAGTGACCGAAGGGACAACTGAAAAAACGGGGACTGTTTTTCACACTTAACGACCATTGCAGCATCCCTCGTGGTCACGTGATCAAAATTCAGATGCTTAGTGACTCATATTTACGATGGTTGCTGTGTCCCGGGATTCCTTTTGGCGACCTTTTAACAAGCAAAATGTCAACTCATAAAATACACTGCTCAAAAAAATAAAGGAAACACTTAAACAACGCAATGTAACTCCAAGTCAATCACACTTCTGTGAAATCAAACTGTCCACTTAGGTCGCAACACTGATTGACAATCCCTGTCACATGCTGTTGTGCAAATGGAATAGACAACAGGTGGAAAGCAGAGGCAGGTAGCAAGACATATGCCCAATAAAGGAGTGGTTCTGCTGGTGGTGACCACAGACCACTTCTCAGTTCCTATGCTTTCTGGCTGATGGTTTGGTCACTTTTGAATGCTGGCGGTGCTTTCACTCTAGTGGTAGCATGAGATGGAGTCTATAACCCTCACAAGTGGCTCAGGTAATGCAGCTCATCCAGGACGGCACATCAATGCAAGCTGTGGCAAGAAGGTTTGCTGTGTCTGTCAGCGTAGTGTCCAGAGCATGGAGGCGCTACCAGGAGACAGGCCAGTACACCAGGAGATGTGGAGGAGGCCGTAGGAGGGCAACAACCCAGCATCAGGACTGCTACCTCCGCCTTTGTGCAAGGAGGGACAGGAGGAGCACTGCCAGAGCCCTGCAAAATGACCTCCAGTGGGCCACAAATGTGCATGTGGCTGCTCAAACGGTCAGAAACACACTCCATGAGGGCGGTATGAGGGCCCGACATCCACAGGTCGGGGTTGTGCTTATAGCCCAACACCGTGCAGGACGTTTGGCATTTGCCAGAGAACACCAAGATTGGCAAATTCACCACCGGTGCCCTGTGCTCTTCACAGATGAAAGCAGGTTCACCCTGAGCACATGTGACAGACGTGACAGGGTCTGGAGATGCCGTGGAGAATGTTCTGCTGTCTGCAACATCCTCCAGCATGACCGGTTTGGCAGTGGGTCAGTAATGGTATGGGGTGGCATTTCTTTAGGGGGCCACACAGCCCTCCATGTGCTCGCCAGAGGTAGCCTGACTGCCATTAGGTACCGAGATCCTCAGACCCCTTGTGAGACCATATGCTGGTGCAGTCGGCCCTGGGTTCCTCCTAATGCACGACAATGCTAGACCTCATGTGGCTGGAGTGTGTCAGCAGTTCCTTCAAGACGAAGGCATAGATGCTATGGACTGGCCCGCTCGTTCCCCAGACCTGAATCCAACTGAGCACATCTGGGACATCATATCTCACTCTATCCACCAATGCCACGTTGCACCACAGACTGTCCAGGAGTTGGGGGATGCTTTAGTCCAGGTGTGGGAGGAGATCCCTCAGGAGACCATCCTCCACCTCATCAGGAGCATGCCCAGGCATTGTAGGGAGGTCATACAGGCACGTGGAGGCCACACACACTACTGAGCCTCATTTTGACTTGTTGTAAAGACATTACATCAAAGTTGGATCAGCCTGTAGTGTTTTTTTCCACTTTAATTTTGAGTGTAACTCCAATTCCAGACCTCCGTGGGTTGCTAAATTTGATTTCCATTGATAATTTTTGTGTGATTTTGTTGTCAGCACATTCAACTTTGTAATGAACAAAGTATTTAATAAGAATATTTCATTCATTCAGATCTAGGATGTCTTATTTTTGTGTTCCCTTTATTTTTTTGAGCAGTGTATTTCTCTGGTCTTTTTAGAGTTGCCAACAGAGGGGGGAGCAGTGCGGCAGCTTGCAAACCGAAACTGCATTCCATAAATGTTTTCAAAGATAGCAACTAGGTGACTGAAGTTTGTCGTGCCAATATCCAACTGGAGAGCCTGATTGATGATTCTTGGCTATGGATGTGTCCCATTGGAGAATATGAATTACGATACACCCAGGGGGTGGAGGAAAACCAGGGTCAAGGGTGACAATGAATTATGGATTAGGACCCCGGGTTGAAACGCAAGGGAGAGGGAGGGGAAGCAGTACAGGTGACCCCCCTACCTGTTCCATGTACAGCAACAGGGATTCCTTATTGTTCTCCCACTCCTGGGGAAGCTCCGAAGCGTGCGGGAATTTGTCGCAGGAGAGCTCGATGGTCACCTCAAAGCAGTTGGTATGCAGGTAGCTGAAGTCATTCATACCTGCAAGAGAAGAAGACCTGAGCAGGCATCTCTTTGACCCCAGGGGCTGTTGTGATTAGCCAGCAGCAGGTGCAAACGGCTGAGGAGAGCGAGGACTCAGATGAGGGGCCAGGACCCATTAGGGGGTGGACTGCTGCCTTCGGAGATTGTGGGGGCTGGCAGCAGCAATGAGGAGGTTCCCGAGGAGCCTGTGCCAAGTGCACATGCGCGCAGGAAAGAGCAGCTGCAGCAGCACGGGCAACTCGGGAGTAAGGCTACAAGGTGATGGCCCCTCCTTCAAGAAGATAAAAGCCAGCTGTGAATCGGACATTCTTTGCAGGAAGCAAAGACGTTTTTGAAACTCAGCCTCGTGGACATTACAGTATCTTCAGTTGGTATCTGAAGACTCTTGTGTTGTGAAATATACCTCATCTGTTATTCTTGGTAGCCTTGCACAGTTTTGGCAAGGTTTGTGTTTATTAAAGTTAATTAGTTTGCCGCAGCCTTTTAACCGGCAATTCGTAAGACTCATTAAAAGGTTTCTGTTCCCTTTGGTTCGGGTTTGTTTTATTGGAAAAGGGTTTGGGTCAGAACAGGGGTAGAGTTCCCCAACCTTTCTGGGTGGGTGGGTGGGGGGGTGAAGCAGAGGTCGGCTTCAAAAAATTTAGCAATGGGTTCTCTACCTGGTTGCTGGGTGGGCGTGGCCTAGTCAGCCTCCTGCACCATGGCAGTGTGTGTGTGTCTGTGTGTTTGCCCTCCTGGGCTCCGGAGGCTTTCCTCGAGCCTCCAAGAGGGCGAAAACGGCCTCTGGAGCCCGGGGAGAAATGGGCCCATTTCCAGCCTTCCGGAACTTTCCAGGAGACCCAATTTTCATCTTCCCCGAGCCTCCGTGCGCAATGCCTCTTGAAAAACCCAAGGGACAACCCTCTGTTTAGTGCTAGTCTGTTTAGTGTACTGCTAGTCCTCATGGAGGACGTCCCGTTCACCTACTTCCCGGCACGGTGTGCCAGTTGGCTCCGTTGATGATGTTTCCTTCCTGCATGAAGTCGTCGTAGTGGCACCGCCGCCGTTCGCTGTCTACCATCACCAGGTTGGAGGTGGCGTAGACGGTGGCCAGCCATCGGAAGACGGCGTCATCCGCGGTGGGGGTCAGCTCCTGGGCTTTCCAGTAGGTGCGGGTCATGTCGAAGGGGTACGACACCACCAACTCCCCTCCGTGAAGGTTGGCGCTCAGCACGAAGGGGTAGCGCTGCATCCAGCTGATAACCGCCCGGGTTTCTGGGGCAACCTTGGCAGAAAAAAAATAACAGTCCAGGATAAGCCAGAGCAGAGATGACCTCCCTTTAGGCCAGGGGACCTGGGGCAACTTTACAGACTTGTGGACTTCAACTCCCAGAATGCCCCAGCCTGCGTTGAAGGCCACAAGGCTGGCTGGCCGGCTGAGGCATTCTGGGAGTTGAAGGCCGCAAGGCTGACTGGCTCAATGGCCGGCTGAGGAATTCTGGGAGTTGAAGGCCAAAGGCTGACTGGCTCAATGGCTGGCTGAGGAATTCTGGGAGTTGAAGGCCAAAGGCTGACTGGCTCAATGGCTGGCTGAGGAATTCTGGGAGTTGAAGGCCAAAGGCTGACTGGCTCAATGGCCGGCTGAGGAATTCTGGGAGTTGAAGGCCGCAAGGCTGACTGGCTCAATGGCTGGCTGAGGAATTCTGGGAATTGAAGGCCAAAGGCTGACTGGCTCAATGAGGAATTCTGGGAGTTGAAGGCCAAAGGCTGACTGGCTCAATGGCTGGCTAAGGAATTCTGGGAGTTGAAGGCCAAAGGTTGACTGGCTGAGGAATGCTGGACTCACCGTGGCGTTCGGGAAGGTGTATGCCTCCGGGATGGGGATGTAGTGGTTGGGGAACTTGTGGGGCACCAGCTCGGCATCCTCAGCGTCCCAAAGCTCCGTGTTGAGGTCGGCAAAGTTGTGGTTGAGATCAAAGCCTTCGTACGTCCATCGGCCCATCGCCCAGCCAGCCAGCTCTGAGCCCTGCAGAGTCACCAAAGAAAGGAGGGGTTGGAGACTACACCCGGTGCCCTCCGGATGGACCGGCCTGGGGGAGATCGGTAATCCACTCCCCAGTTATATCTCCACAGCCCTCAGAGCAGGAAGGCAGGACATGTGGTGGGTCTCAGCAACGAAGGAAGTCCATCTGGAGGGACCTGGGAAACAGGGCCTTCTCAGTGGTGGCTCCCTCCTTCTGGAATTTCCTTCCCCAGGTTGGCTCCCCCTTTGCTGCTTTTCCCAAAAAGCTTTTAAATACTGACTGGTTCAGTGGGTTTGGGGACCCCCATTGGGATCAAGGAAGGAAGGAAGGAAGAAAAGAAGGAAGGAAGATGGAGGGAAGGAAGGAAAGAGAGAGAGAAGAAAGAGAAAAGGAAAGAGAAAAAGGAAGGAGGTAGGAAGGAAGGAGAGAGAAAGACAGAGAAAAAGAAAGAAATGGAAGGAAGATGGAAGGAAGAGAAGAAAGATCAGAAAGAAAAAGAAAAGAGAAAAAGGAAGGAAGGAAAGATAGAAAGAGGAAGGGAGGGAGGTGAAAGAAAGGAGGGAGGAAAGAGAGAGGGGAGAGAGGGAGGAAGGAAGGCAAAGAAAAGGGAAGATGAGAAGAAAGGAAGGAACGAAACAGGGAGAGAGGGAGGAAGGAAGGAAGCAAAAGAAAGAGAAAGAAAAAAAGAAAAGAAAAAGAAAGAAATGGAAGGAAGGTGGAAGGAAGAAAGAGAGAGATGAAGAAAGAAAGAGAAAAGAGAAAAAGGAAGGAAGGAAAGATAGAAAGAGGAAGGGAGGGAGGTGAAAGAAAGAAGGGAGGAAGGAGGGAGGGGAGAGAGGGAGGAAGGAAGGCAAAGAAAAGGGAAGATGAGAAGAAAGGAAGGAACGAAACAGGGAGAGAGGGAGGAAGGAAGGAAGCAAATGGGGTGGCTCCCCAAGGACGGACGGACAGACAGACAGACCGGAACGCCCACACCCACACCATGCCACTGCGCCACGCACCAGCTTGTAGGCCGTCTCATAACCGTCGGGGTTCATGGAGGGCATCAGGTGGATCCGGGTCTCGGTGACCAGCCTCCGGACGCGAGGGTTGCCCTGCTTGTATTCCTGGCAGAGATACTCCATCAGGTTGAGCACCAGCTCCCGGCCCAGCGCCTCGTTGCCGTGCATGCCAGCCACGTAGCGGAACTCTGGTTCTCCTGCAATGGCGCCGGGACGATGACATCTTGGGGGGGTGTTTGTGAGCTGGGCGTTTCTTGAGGGATCTTCTAAGGACCCCCATTTGTGGCTCCCCAGCCCCCTTGGGACATGCAAGGGCCGTGTTTCTCAACCTCGCCAAGTGAGACATGGATGGACTTCGACGCCCAGAATTCTTTGCTGGCTGGGGGATTCTGGGAGTTGAAGCCTACGTGCCCAGATTGAGAAACACTGGAGAAAGCGGCAAGAGAGACTGGAAGGCTGGCTGGGGGATTCTGGGAGTTGAAGTCCACTCAATTGGTCCCAGTCGAGAAACTGGCTAAACTAGATAGACCCTTGGACCCAATTGGCCGAGAAGCTCCTCGACAACGGAAACAAGCCACGATCCCCGTCTTCTGCAGCCAAGTTCCAATTAAACTCTCTTCCTGCAAAACGGATAGAGCATCCCGAGATGTCACTCACCTAATTCGTGCTGCCCGGGGTTGTCTGATATCTCCATGACGTACATTTTCAAGCCCAGGTAACTTTTCCCGATGCTGTATATCCTCGTGATATCCGGACAAGACTCACTGACATTTTTCATCAGCTGCCGGGAGAGAATTCAGTTTCTCTGAATGAAAATCTCTGAAATGGCGACCGGATATGATTTCCTCCATCCCTTTCAGGCAGTGGTGGGATTCAATTTTTTTTTTTTAACTACCGGTTGTATGGGTGTGACTAGGTGGATGTGGCCAGGTGGTAATGTGACTGGGTGGGCATGGCTCTGTGGGGTTTTTTTCACAGCAACCCCCCCCCCTGTACCCCATTTTTTGCCAACTGGGCCTCAGGGAAGCCTCCCTGGGTGCTGAAAAAAAGAAGCATTTTGAAGGTAAGTACAACAGCGAGGCAGAAAAATCAGCTGTGCCGCGCGATTTAGATTAGCCAGAAAGCAAGAAATCCCAACGATTTCCTACTTTCTAGCTAATCTAAATCGCGTGGCACAGCTGATCGTTGACCGAACCGGCAGTATTTTTTTTTTTTAATTACCGGTTCGCTTGAACGGGGTGTCAGGATTCCAGCAATCACCCTAATGAAATCATGATTCTCGAGCCAAACTTCAAAAAACTTCAAAGGATTTATTAGAGGTTGACATACTGCCCTGTATGTCTCCTCTAATGAATGCTTTGAAGTTTTTTGAAGTTTGGCTCGAGGATCATGATTTAATTAAGGTGATTGCTGGAATCCTAACAGCAAGCCAACTCTGGCATACGTAATTTACAGTCACTTGTGACCCTGTTTCCTCCCTCCCTCCTGGGTGTGTCATAAACCAGATTTTCCAATTGAGCACGTTCACGGCCTGGGTGTCATCAATCACATTCTCCAATTACGGGCTGGATGTCACCAATCACATTCTCCAATTAAATATATTCGCGGACAAAACTCTGGTAGTTAAGTTACAATCTTTTAAAGATAAGTGTTGGGATGTACTTTCGCTTCCAAACTGCTACACGGATCTTCCAGATTTCCTTCAATTCCACTACTGCTTTCAGGGTAGGAAAGGTGAGTTAAAGGAAGACCCAGTCAAGTTTTATTTTTTCGCTAGGAATCTAAAATCTGGATGTTCAAAAAAAGTTTTAGGGGCTTAATTCACTTCCCCATCGTATCTTGTGAGATGTTTTACAAATGAATCACCGAAAAATCAAGATATTTTAAAAGGAATTTTTAAGGCAAAACTGCTTAAAAACAAAAAACAAACTACAGGTAGTCCTCGACTTACAACCAGAAGGGAGGCCAACATTTCTGTCACCGAGCGAAACTGTGGTTGAGGGTTTTTTTGTCCCCTTTTATGACCTCTCTTGCCACCGTTGTTAAGTGGATCCCTGCGATTTATTAAGAAAGTCACACGGTTGTGGTGAGACGGTGGTTAGGTGAGTTTCCCGTTTGACGACCTCTCTCGCCACAGTTTGTAAAGTGAATCACTGCAAATGTTAAGTGAATCTGGCTGACCCCATTGTCTTAGTGGACAACCAGTTAAACATGAGCCAGCGGTGTGCAGCCACCGCCAAAAAAGCCAGTGCAACCCTGGATGGCGGGTTGGACTAGATGATCTATAAGGTCCCTTCCAACTCTGTTATTCAGAAATTGTGGGAGGTCCATCACTGGAGGCTTTTGAGAAGAGATTGGACTGCCCATCTGTCAGAAATGGTGTAGGGTCTCCTGCTTGGGGAGAGGGTTGGACTAGATGACCTACAAGGTCCCTTCCATTTTTTTATTATTATTATTATTTTATTTTATATTATATTATTATTATTATTATTTTATATTATATTATTATTATTTTATATTATATTATTATTATTATTTTATATTATTATTATTT